TTATACAATAATTATAATAGTTATCGTCTCACGTGCAACATGAATTTTTTAAAGTATAATTTGGTTACACTGTAACTCGTAACGGGTTTCGTAGTAACAGTAACAGAGCAACTGACTGTACCAGTAACTCTGCTTTATAATCTATCTGTAATATTTAACAAATACGGAGCCACGTTATCCAATTGTGTCCAGTGGCGCGATATACTTTTCTTTCTTACATTTTCAAATAAATCGTTCTTTAGTTTAAGGATGAATTTTTTAACAGCTTACGATACATTAACAATGTATGCACTACTGTCAAAAGTGTACGTTCAAATTTTAGTGTAAATGCATAGAAAGTCGTCTGGCACGATGCGTTTTGTGTACCATTTAGAATTAACTTGGACCACGACAAGAAACATTGTTGTACAACAAAATTTTGTCCCTAAGTCTAGTACATCGTAAAGATAAAATAAGAGACGCGAGTGAAATTGGAATTTTTTCGAAATGACATTTAGATGAAAGATGTTTACATATGTCTAGTGTTCCCGAAATTAATGCCACTCTGATTAGCACCCTTATTGCTGCCGTATTGCAGACTAATTACACCCTGTCCAGCCCTCAATTGTTCCTCGGTGAAATTACGGATATTTTTGTCTGCTTCTTTTGGTCCGATACTTGGTTTACCATAGTTACCCGCCTAAAAAAAAGGGGGGAAAAGAGAACGATAAAACAATGTTATCTGTTTAGAAATTGATAAAGAATTAATTTTTTATAGACAAATTACAACATGTATGAAATTTTCAAAAAGATATTTCAACGTTTCGTAAACATTGTGGTTAGGTTGGTAGTTATCGAACAAAACACAACTAACACGTGGAAAGTTTGAATACTCTCAACTATAAGAATTTGATCGAAAAATGAAAAATTGTACCTTTCTACCGAGGGATTGTAAACAAATCACAACTGAATTGAGATTTTGTCTTTCCCAGAGATCAACAGTCTGGAAGGTCTCTTGAGCAGGGACACCTAACCCTTTCGCAGCCTCGAGGAATGCGTTGATATTCTCCATACACTTGAAGGCCAAGCTGGTTTTATTAATCTTCTTTACCGATCCCTCCTTAATATCGTTCACTAGTCTATAAGAAAAGTACGATAATTAATTATCAAAGAAATCGAAGAAACACATCGAACGACGTTGTTTCCACGAAGTGTACCTGCAAAGTAGCGTCCCGTCCTTCAGGATTTCATAGAAATTGTCCATGTCCCCGTTGGTGTTTATATTTTCGCCTGTGATCGTCTTGATCCATTCCAAACATTCTTGCGCCAGCTCCTCGCTGTATTTACTATTAATCTGAAACAGAAATTCATTTACGATCGTAAGCCGAGTTTCCATTGAAGGCACGATAATTTTTTCCGAAGTAACGTACGAAATCGTCGAAGTAATAACATCGAAATTTTCCTCGATGAGAAAATTAACCGTGTTAGTTTACAATTTTAGATATTATTGAAAATTTGAATTTTTTCGAATTGTTCTCGTTTCACGTTTTCTATCGTAACGGAGATTTCATGAAATTCCCGCCAATCTCCGGAGCTCGAAGGGGCACGAGCCACTACCGACTGCTCGTTATTAATTATACGATGTGCCAGTGATCCAAGTAACACATCCTGTAGGGTCTGCGACACGAGCGTGGTCGGAGTCACTGACCCAACTTGTTTGAACACTTCGCTCGTTGTTTCTTCGAGGTGCCTCGCAAATCTTCCCCGTGAACGCAAGCATCGTTTCGGAGAAAGTTTCTGTGCTGCCTAAGGAGACCGGGAACGTGTACCCACCTACTCTCCCCTCGTTCACAAGGTTTTCAGAAGGAGACCTTCTCTTTCGTATCTGAAGCTACAGGACGTAGTATCAAATATTTCCATTGCTTTTTCAACGTACAGACAGTCACTCTGAGTGTTAGGGAGTAGTAATTTAGAAGTTTGCAAATTGTTTCTACTCTTGGAATCCTTACAGAGGAATATCTTAGAAATTTGCAATTTTTTCGTACTCTTGGAATCGTCGAGTTCGTGAATATTTCCTACACTTAAGTAGTTGTTAAGTTTGCAAATTTCTCAAATCTTTGGAATCGAGTAAAGAACACCGAACAAATCTAGGATC